TTTCGAACATGACAATCTTCGGCTTCAGGAAGCCAGCATCAGCGTCTATGAAAGGTATATCACTGACAGAGGATGACTTTTCCTTATTGACGCTGTACGTATGGCGATGAAACAATCGTCGTCGGTAGAGTATCAGTGATACACTAAAGATCACAAACAGAGGGGCAACCAAAAGGAGGAACAACAAACCATGGCGCAGGTGCATAAATGCCTCGACTGTAACACCCAGCTGTGTTGCAGTGGACATGTTTGCAAAGTTATCAGAGACATTCAAGGTTGCCAGAGAGCCATTCCAGAACGCTGAATTGTTCATCCCAGGCCATAATGCCATTTCTGTCTGTAACAGAATCCAGAGTTCCTTCTCTGATCGACTATTTATGTCCATAAGGTCAACCGCTTTGCCAACATCGTGTGACTCTTTAAGTGGTTGCGTAGAATTCTTCCCGGGTTTAACGGTAGTGCTGATATTTTCAGTCGTTGTGTTGTCCGCATGCATTTCAATCTGCCCTGGCGCAGTGGTAAAACGATTTACTTCCTTAGCGGTGACGCTTTTATACACCACAGTTCCGGAAAGACCGTCGTTCATGTGTGAATTTTTGTTTTCTAAAATCTTGTTGTCATAGGTAACATTCTGAACACCTGTAGACCATGTTCTCGATGTCCAACGACCTGAAGGATCGATCGAAAGCTTAACTGACGCAACCGCACTACCAACGTTGACTTTTGCTCCAGTGATTCCTGCATTTGTCACATTAGTCGTCGTCTGAAGCGGCGCCATAGATTCAGAACTACTGTTTAGGGCATCTGCCTGAATATTTTCGTCCAGTTTATTTTTGTCCTTCAATGCCCTCAAAATAGACTGTTTCGAGAACGAGTTATTAGAAGGCTCCGTGAAATTATTCACTGCCTTACTTCCCAATATGACACTGTTCACCGCTGATCCTTGTTCAACAAAAAATTCATTGATATCGTATAAATGCTTGTCTGTTTTAGTGGGTCTCGTTGGCGTCAGCGAGGACGGTTCTTTGAAAGATGACCTAGAGGCATTCTCCCTATTCATAGACGTTGTCATTTCATGCAACGCTGCCACTTCCACATCATTAGCATTTTTGCCTTGAATACTTGCTCGTCGTTCCTGATTAATAGTAGTTCCATGCAGCCTTTCGCTGTTGCGCGCAGCAGAGAATGTAGTGATTGTAGAAGGCCTCAAATCAGGCGGCTTCTCATCTCCAGATTTCATTTGATCGATTAAAGAAACATTGGTTAAACCACTTTGATTTTGGGCTTTACTTCTCATCGATACAACAACGATGTTCGTATTATTTCTTGCCTTGTCTTCAATCTTGGCTGGAGCAGAGACACTGGTGATGATGAGATTTATCTCATCTTCATTCTCAATGGTGATCGGAGGATGCGTCA